CTTGCCCTCATAACAAAGAACAAAAAATGCCAAAATCATGGGTTATAATTCACCCAAATCGCGAATTTTGAAATAGCCATAATTAATTGCCATTGGGTCAAATGAATGAAAAGAACATGCAAAATGGAAAAAAATATCATGCATTAAAGTGCATGAAAATCACGAATTTTGAAATACACATTTATTTTCCATTCGGTTGAAAAATAACAACTAACAGAAATCGGGTTATAGCCCCATAAAAATTGTAATTTTTTAAGATAGCTTATTTGCCATTGGATTAAGACGAATGAAAATATGCAAAAAAAAAGAGGGTAAAGGCCACAAAAATAGCAAATATTGAAGTTTTTCCACAATTCTTAAATGGTCAAACCAAGAAATATAGACAAAAATCATGGACTATAGCCCATGGAATCACAAATTTTGAAGTACACATTTTATGCGACAAAATTGCGCAAAGCTATAAGCGGTTCATTTTAAATATGCCACCTTGATCTCGACATCAATGCTATAGCGTTGAGACAGTGAAAGGCTGAAGATGGAGGGTTGATTTGGTCTGCAATAGCTTGAAGGCCGCAAGAGCTTGCCACCATAAAGGGCTGATTTGGCAATGGATGGCTGGGGCTTAAGGGTTGCTAAAGCTAGAGGAATGAAGACGATAGGAGATGGTGAGAGAAGAGCTGAGGATGGCATTGTTACTGAACTTTGAAGAGGATGATTTGCCTGTGAGAGCAAGCTTCGACAAGAGAAAGGAGGCAGCGGGGGCCGACTGTTTTTTTTTTTTTTTTTTGGAGGGGAAAATGGGNGGGGGGGGGGACTTTTTTTTTTTTTTTTTGTTGGAGGATGAAATGGAGAGAAGTGGCAGCGGTGTTTAGGATTCTTTTATCGACAGATAGCAGAGAGAAACAATAATGGGAATTAGGTTTTATTAAAAAAAATGGATCGGGTTTGGTACCTATTGGGAAAATCAGCTTTTTACAGCTTTGGCATGCTTCTTAGCGCTATTGTAAGCAAAAAGCGCAGAGAGCACTCTTCGCCGCCGCAATTGTCCAAAGCAGTGCGTTGGGCCACTGCTAAACTATTAGCACCGGTTTAGCGACACTTTTTGCTACTATTTAAAACCAATGTTTTAAATATCGGCGATAAACCAATATTATCCACTACAAGAAATCGGGTCTTTAACGACCAAAATTAACGAAGGGACTATTTAACCATTGTTATTATATATACAATAATGACGGTTTCTCACACCTTCATTGAGCTTTTTATAAATATTAAGAGAGTTAAATAAGGATAGACAACGGTTATTTAGACCCTTCGATGATTAGGTCTTACTACCTTCGTTGATGAGGAGTCTTGAAAACGAAGGACCTATTAACCATCGTTAAAGATGAAACCTAGTCCTAATAGGAGAATAAATCTAATTAATATAATTGAGGAGTTATATATAACAAGTTCTCACATATATGTAATTCTCTATCTCTCTAATACATCACGCAAAAACCCTAGGAAATAGTGCTCCTCCTCTTCATCAGTTCATCTTTCTCGACGGCAATATTACCAACCGCCTCCTCTTCTCGGCAACCGCAACGTGACCCTCATCCGCATCCTCTCCTGTTTCTCAACAGTAACATCATCTCCCCCTTCTTCTTACCACGGTAGCAGCAAGACCTCATCCGCCTCCTCTTCCTCTTTCTCGACGACAACCAACCCTCGCCCCCCCCCCCCCCCATCCTTAAGCAGGTGGAAGATCTTATAGGGATCACCTTGACCAATCATCCAGAGAAGAAAATTAAAATATCACACGAAAGACGGGGAGATAATTGGAATAAAAAAAGTATTTTTTTTGATTTGCCATATTGGAGAACTCTCTTATTGCGACATAATTTAGATGTCATGCATATTGAGAAGAATATTTGTGATAGTCTGCTGGGAACAATCATGAACATTAAAGGAAAGACAAAGGATAATATCAAAGCCCGTCTCGATTTACAAGCAATGAGTTTAAAACCGGAGTTACATCCAATCCAGAGAGGAGATAAACTTGTGATGCCAGCAGCTTGTTATACTTTATCCCAAGAAGAGCAAAGCAAATTTTGTCGATTTCTAAAGGAGTTAAAAGTTCCAGATGGATTTTCATCCAATATTTCTCAATGTGTAAATCTTAAAGAGCGTAAGATTTTGGGGTTAAAGAGTCATGACTGTCACGTTCTTTTGCAGCGCTTGATTCCTGTATCGATTCGTGGCCTTCTTCATGCAAAAGTGTGTGAAGCAATTATTGAACTTTCCATATTCTTCACTATATTATGTGCCAAGACATTAAGGGTGGATGAACTTAAGCAAATTGATGAGCAGATTCCACTTACGTTATGTAAGCTTGAGAAGATTTTTCCACCTTCAATTTTTGATGTTATGCTGCATTTAGTAGTTCATTTAGCATCTGAAGCCATACTTGGAGGGCCTGTTCGATTTCGATGGATGTACCCAGTGGAGCGTCAGCTTTATACTTATAAGTCATATATCAGAAATAGGGCACGTCCAGAAGGGTCAATTGCTGAAGGATATATAGCAGATGAATGCATGACTTTTTGCTCAAGATATCTAAAAGGCTTCGAGACAAAGTTTAATCGCCTTGAAAGAAATTATGAAGATGACAATAGAGAATGTAATGAAGCACAACTATCTATTTTCAGACATAGTGGGCGGGCATTGGGTGCTGCCACCACCCGCTACCTTGATGAACGTGAGTGGTTGCAAGCTCATATTTATGTTCTAAAGAACTGTGATGAAGTGCAACCACACATTGAGTAAGTCACTAAAGTTTAAGATTCTACTAATAAATTTACTATAGTTAGTCAACGTTAATCATATTTATGATATTTTAATGTAGGGACTACAATGAATTCGTGAGAGAACCCACAAATCACTATGATGATAAAGATTGGGATAAGAACTTTATCGAGTGGTTCCAAGCTCTAGTACGTATATATCTTGCCTTATTTTTTAAATATCTTGATTGGTTCATTTTATTACATGTTCCATGACTTGATCATATTTTGGTTTTGTTTAGGTTTATCAGAGTTATCGAGAAGATGATGACTTACTTTCACTATCTCGTGGTCCAAGTAAGATTGTTAAATGTTTTACTGGATTTGTCATAAATGGACATCGATTTCATACAGAAAGTCGAGATAATTGTTTGTCAACTCAAAGTAGTGGGGTTGCAGTTGTTGGTGATGCTGGTGATGGTGGAGATATAGATTATTATGGTGCTTTGGTTGAAGTTGTCGAATTAGAGTATCCTGGTAGAAGAAAGGTTGTTCTATTTCGTTGTAAATGGTGGGATGTGCACGGCAAAGGAAAAGGGACCGCTTTGAAAGAAGACAAATATGGATTTATCAGTATTAACTGCCGACACTTGCTAAAGACGAATGACCACTTTATACTTGCTGGCCAAGCATCACAAGTTTTTTATGTTGAGGATATTGCCAATGAAGGTTGGCATGTAGTTCTTAAAGCACAACCCCGTGATTCCTATGATATGCCACCAGATACAGATGATTGTGGGATAACAGACGATGGAGTTGAAGCTTATTTGCAAGATGAATCATTTGATGCTCAGGCTATTGCATCAACATCATTGGAAGATGATTATATCAATTTGAGAAGGAGTGATATTGATCCAATTATTGTAAATTCGGTCTCAACTTCAAAAAAGAGGAAAAAGACTCAAGCAGAGAATTAGAACGCTTTAATTAAAGAATAGAACACAAATGATATTGTGTTATTGAGATAAAATTTAAGTTGTATCTTCACTATAACTATTCCTTTTTTAGACATATGATGTTCTTTTCTTCATATTTTGGATGTGGCTTTGACATTGCAGCAAGTGCTTCTACATTAGTGTATTATGTATTTATTGTTATGCTTGTCCTTCGTGATATCTTCTTCTTTTATTCATTTCTCTTTTGATATTTGTTTCATACATAGTGTGTAATACTTAAATTCCTTTTCATAGCAGGAAAATGAAAACTCAAGAAGTCACTTCCAAAAGCAAAAGGGCACAATTTCTAGCACCCAGGTCATTAATTAGGAAGCGACTTCAAGCACTTGCAGAAAATTCATTAAGAAGGGAACAACTCCGTACTTGTCATGACAAGAACTTGAATATTCAAAATCCAATACAAGATCAAAATATGGGTACAAATTTTAGTGCTGATTCAGAAAACTTTGAAGAGGAGAATTTTGCACAAAATCGCAGGAGAAGTGCAAATACTAACAATGAAGAGAATGATGATTCTGCAGGTTGATGAGACTTAAAATTTATTATTATTTCTTTTTTATCTTTCAATTTATTTTTTATGATTGGATTAATAATTGCCCAATTTTTTGCAGAATCAAATAATCATCGAGTGCAAAGTGATGATGTAATACTAAATGAATCTCGACAAGAAGGTATATTCTTTATTAATTACAAGAAGTAATATTTTTATCAATTTCTTTTTACCTATATCTTGTTTCTAACATATGATATGATGTATGCAGCTGATAATTCTCATAAGAAGAAAAATCCACCTCGTGGTAATAATAAGTGTCTAAAGTTGAATAATTTGTCACATGGGGAGAAAAAGATCATTACTTTTTATCAGAATAGAGCTATTGAGCCAGAATTTTCACGATATCTTGGAATTATTATTCGTGATAGAAATATTTGCCCAGTAGCTGTTAAGAATTGGGCTAAAATACCACAACAAAATAAAGATCATATATGGGCATCCATTAAGGTACATTGAAAATTAATTTTTTGCAATTGGTTTTTAATTCTTATAAATTAAATTTTGATTCAAATTTGATATAGGATAAATTTGATGCTGAGGACATGGAGCAAAAGAGAGAGTTAGTAATGAGACACTTGCGCGATTTGTGGAATAAGTGGCGTGGTGACATGCACAGGAAATATGTGAAAGAAAATTCATTGCAAGTTGCACTTAGAAATAATCCTACAAAAGTGAGTGTTGATGACTGAGATTGGCTAGTTAAGGAACATTATTTTTCTTCAAAATTTCAGGTATTAATCTCCTAATTTTATTAATTTTGTTCCATGTATATTGTTGGATTGTTGAAATTATCTTTTAATCTTGATGTATAGAAAGCAAGCCAACAAAATACACTTAACAGAGGCAAAAGAAAGATGCTCCACCACACGGGCAGCAAACCCTTCAGACAAATTGCGTGGGAATTGGTAACTAATTTCCTATTTATTTAAAACTACTTTGTTTTTTAGTTTGATATTGTACTCATTTTTATTTAATATTTGAATAAGGGTGGCAAGTCAGGAAATTCACCTGATGTGGCACAAATGTTTCATGAAACTCGAAAGAAAGCTAATGAAACACTAGATATTGAGGATCAAGATAAATATGTAAGTAGAATATGTGTTTAAGTTTGATAATGATGTATTATATAGTGCTAACATATGGATTTAATTTTTATAGGATGAAATTGTTCAAGTCAAACAAGCAAACCCTTCACTTTCTGACATTGAGATAGTTGAGAAAATCTGGGGGAAGCAATCTCATGGTCACATCACTGTATTTGGTGGCGGGACTACTTTAAAAGATTTGAGAGGACCGCTCCCTAGTCGATCTGATCTGGAAGCACGGGTTATAGAAGAAAAGAGAAAGAACCAGATGCTTCAACAACGCTTAGATGAGCAGGAGCAACAACAACAAAGGATGTCTGAGTTGGAGTCACAAGTGAAAGCTATGCAAGAACTTTTTTTTAGGCAATCACATTCATTGACTCCTCAAACTCGAGAACATGTGCAGGACTAGGTAATTATTTTTTGTAAAATCTCTTATATACTTTTATGATTGACTACTTGCACTAAAAAAATATGATTTTTACTTAATAAGATAATATTTGCTTAATTGATATTTCTTAATTATGTGATTTTTTTTAAATTTTTCAGGCTATCCATGCAAGATTAGGAGGGGGTAGCTCGAGTCTTCTTTTGATGATGATTAGAGATGAAAGAATGTGTCTTCCCAAACTTTTATTTTAATTTGTTTTAGATAGTTTATGTATTTTCCTTTGGAACAATTAGAATATTAACTCTTATTATTAGTATTGAATATTTGAGGATGGTGGAATTTTATTTATTGATGTTATTAATGAATGGAATTTTTATTTTACCTCTTATTCATTATTGGGTATTTTTAATATGTTTTTGTTGTGAATCTTAGTGTCTGGTTGAGAATAATATGATAGTTGCCTATGAATGGAAAATTTATTATTAATGTATATTAGAAATTTATAGTCTACAATGACGGTTTTATAAACCGTATTTTGTTCATCAACGAAGGGAAAGCACCGTCGTTGATGTGTTACTAATTACCCATTATGTGGACTTTTACGACGGTATCCAACCGTCATTAATTAGTCTTCAACGACGGGAAAATATCCCCGTAACTAATGGTAACGACGGGAAAATATCCCGTCACTGATGGTAACGACGGGAAAATATCCCGTCACTAATGGTAACGACGGGAAAATATCCCCGTTACTGATGGTAACGACGGTGATAATTACCGTAGTAAATATTAATGACGGTAATATGTTCCGTCGTTATAGACTCTATAACGACGGGTAGTATATCCCTTCGTGACCCTTTAGCGAAGAGGGCTTCAACGACGGGTGACGAAGGGATTTTTCCCCGTCGTTAGCATACAATAACGAAGGTTTTTAGCTCTTTAACGAAGGGAAATCCCTTCGTTAAAGATGTAATTTCTTGTAGTGATCGGTGATTTATCGATTCTAGGGGGTCTTCTGCGAAGATAAGTTCGATTTTAAATCGGTTATCTTTTTTGGATATTTATCGCCGATAATGCGGCGATAAAGTGAGTTATTGGCCGATATTGTCGGCCCAAAAATTGAAGTTATCGGCTTTTGGTTTGAGTTTTGATTTCGGACAAGAGGCACCTATTCAATGCATTTTAAACCTGACCAGATCGAGTATCTACCATTGATTAGAAATCATAAACATAATTATTTATATTTTGGTATGTTTATATTTTCATTAAGTATGGTTAGAATACATTTTAAAATATTATATTATGTATATCACCATCCGGTAATGTCATTCCGATAAATACTATTTATCCTCGATATATCTCCGCTATTCGCTATCCGATATGAATTTTGACTGTCCGATAAATCCCGATAAGTGATTTAAAACTTTGTTTAAAATTCTAGTCGAAAGTATCGGAAATAGACTATAACCATGGGTTATAGCCCATAAAAATCATAAATTTTTAAATACATATAATTACTTACCATTGGAACAAAGCGAACAACAATTTGCCAAGTCCTGAGTCATAACCCACTAGAATCGCAAATTTTTTCGTTATGATTAATTGTCATTGGGTCAAATAAACAATAATAGACAAAAATCGTAGGTTACAACTATATTATAATCATTAATATTGAAGTTTGCACAATCAATTTATAAATAGTTGAAACAGACAAAATAGATAAAAATTATGGCTTATAACCTATAAAATCACGAACTTCGACGTACGCATACTTATTTTCCATTGAGTCGTAGAAGGAAAATTGACAAAAATCATGGGTTCCTTTGAAACTAGCGATTTTTGGAAAAAAAACTTATTTGTTACTCTTTCGAAATAAACAAAATTTGACAAAAATAGTAGATTATGGTCCATAAAAATCATGAATATTGAAGTTCGCACACTTAATTGCTTAACGGTCAAAATGAAAAAAATGACAACTTTCATAGACTATGCCCATGAAGATCATGAATTTTAAATTGTGCATATTTTCAAATGGATTGAAGAATGAAAATTATTAAAATTTGTGGATTATATAACCCATAGAAATCGTCATATTCGATGAAAGAAAATTTAGTTGTCATTAGGTTAAAACTATGAAAATAGGCCCAAAATGTGGGTTATATAACCCATGAAAATCGTAAATTTTGAAGTGCGTATAATTGAAATTAGAATAGAAAGAACAAAATTTTACAAAATGATGAGTTATAACCCACCAAATCGTGAATTTTAAAATAGTTATATTAGTTGTCATTGGGTCGAATGAACGATAATGGACAAACTTTGTGGTTATTACCCATGAAAATCGCGAATATTAAAGTTTGCACAATTAATTCCCAAATGGACAAAACGAACAAAATGGACAAATATCATGGGATATAGCCTATGAAAATAATAAATATTGAAATATCCATATTTTTTATCCATTATATCAATGAAAGAAAATTGAAAAAATTGTAGGTTAATCCCCCATGAAAATCACGATTGTTGATGAAAATAAACTAAAATCGTAGGTTATGGCATAGTTACATTGTATGCAGTACGTAACTATTCATGGTACTATTTGTTGAAAAATTTGCAATAAGAAAATAAAAGAATTGAATTTGATTTATCCCCTCTAACTGCTTAGAAAAAGAATGTTTACAACTCTCTCAATCTCTAACTGATTACAATTTGAATTTTCGATTACAAAAAAAGAGGATCAATATAAACCCTCCCCTTTGTTTAATTCTGAGTTCTTCACAGTGACGATGGAGTGCCTCCCTCGAATGCTCGCGTCGAGCTTGCTCTCCATTGACGATCTGAACATCTCCCTTTACTGGAACAATAGACTTGTGTGGCAAGTATGAAAAAGAACTCTAAACGAGTTTATGAACTCAGAACGAGTTTAAACTCTATGAAAAGAGTTGTTTGAACCGAGAATTCGGTTAATAGCCAAGTGTTCAAATTTTCTGTTGCTGAGTGATGCTCTAAGATATGATCTCCTTGTTGCAAAGATCTGATCTTCAGAAGATAACAATTCCCCCAAAACCGAACTCAATCTGCCGAAGTATGATCTCCTGGATGATCCGATCGAAAAAAAAACCAACCCTTAACTTTGTTGAGTTTATTGAGATTTATAGGAAGATCAGGGGTGTAATTGACCCATTAATCCGCTCCTAAGTGGGCGAGATTCCCTCAAATCGTGGGGAAAACGGTTTTGAAACCGTTCAGCTCGTGTTTGAACGAGTCAAACGTCAAGGTCGGCGTTCTGGGCCCTAACTCTGCGTCTTAGGCTTGAGACGCAGAGTTGGGCGTCTGCTGAAGATTAAAAACGCAGGGGTCGCCTGTGTTTTGAAAATTGAACGTAGAGGTGAACTCTGCGTATAGAAGTGATTGTTGACTTGTAACTTCCTCTATTGGAGCGTTTGTAAAAACTGTTGTTCTGTAATCTTCGCTTTAGCTATTTGGGATGTGAGAGTCGTCAAATTCTAACTCTCACGGTTGATTATGAAGGCTATTGAATCAGAGCTTTCATCAGTCGTCGTGAAGATTGTTGAATTGTAACATTTCTCGATCTACGTGCAAATCCTCCAATCGCAGCTTTCGTTTTATAAACATGAAAGTCGTCTGATTATAACTTTCATTGTCGAGATGTTGATTGAAGTTTGATAGGGATCAGCTATCTGTTGTGATTTTTAGACAGCCTACAGGTACGAGTTCGGATACGCAATTTGCCACTTAGAAAATTTGGATTCGATGGAGTTAGCTTGCTTCAGTAGGCAAGTTCGGTTAGTGGTACATTGTAAAGTTCTTTTGGGTGCGCTTGAAGTTTTTCGAAGTACATAGTAGAATACTATAAACTAGAAAGCTAATCATGCATTTCAATATTTTTTCATACAAAATATTTAAATACTTTTTTTATGGAGTTCGTTTCTTTGTTCTACTTTCTTCACATAGTCTGTGTTGGGATCATGGTTTCATTTTACGTTTTATTAACGTAAATATTTAGTTACAAACTTACAATAAAGTCATTGGCTCATATATTCAATTGTGTGCTTCCCTTCACTCAATTACACACATTGCATTGCATCTTGCGCATGTGCACTTAAAGGGACTTTGCACCCTACATACATGTAAGTAGTATGTTAATGTTGGGGAACAAATTCATGTATTAGAGGGAATAGGTTCTGAAATGTACCGGGAATCAATTCACAAGAATTGTACGACAGTGCAATGGTTGTCCAGGAATCGCGAAACTATGCATAGGACATGAAATTGTAAATTTTGAAGTACATATAATTACTTTTCATTGGGCAAAACAAACAAAAGCTGTCATATCGTGTGCCATAACCCACAAAATCACTTGAAATAGTCATATTTAATTATCATAGGGTTGAATGAATGATAACTAATATAGATTGTGAGTTATGAGCCATAAAACGTATGATTATCGAAGCTCGCAGAATTAAGTGCTGAATGATCGAAATAAAAAAGTGGATAGAAATCATGTACTATAACTAATGATTCTAGCCCTTTTTTACCACATCACAAATTGTCATCCTGGATAGAATATATTATGTGTACTCTATAATTCCTGAATTTATGTGGACTATAAATTATGATTGTAGCCATTTTCGACCAAACTACAAATTGCTTAGAGAATATGGATACTCTAAAATTTCGAATTTCGATGATTATGGTTTTTGATCAAATCACAAGTTGTTGCCTCACATATACTATTTTATGTGTACTCAAAATTTCCTGAATTTGCGTGGACTATATAACCCATGATTTTGGTCATTTTAGACCAAATCACAATTTGTAGTTACGCTTATAAAATTTTATGTGTACTCTTAAATTTCTAAATTTCTGTGGATTATAACCTCTATTGCATTCATTTTTGACAAGATTACAAGTTATCATCCCACATAGAATATCTTATACGTTTAACTTTTAAATATTTGAATGTCTGTGTCCACAACCCATGACTTTTGTTATTATCGACCACATAAAAAAGTTTTGTCCCGCATAATTTTATGCATACTCCAAAATTCCTAAAGCTCCATGGATTACAACCCATGTTTTGACCATTCTCAATCAAATCACAAGTTGTCATCACACATAGAGTATTTTATGTGTACTTCAAAATTTTCAAATCTCCATGGACTATAAATAACTCACGACTTTGATCGTTTTCGACAAAATGTTGTGGTCAAGAAAATTATGTAAACTAATATAAGAGTAACAAATGTATGATTCTTTTCAATTTTCTTTAAACTAAGACAAATAATAATTGACTTAAGCATCAATAATATTTATACGACTTTTATCCAAGTGAAAAATTGCTAAAATAATCATACCACCTATCAAAGTTATCTTAAAATTGATAAATAGAAAATTTTGAAAAAAATAATATGGCTACGACTGCAACTTGAAGTACATACAATCGTTAAAGGAGGTCAGAAGAAATTGATTCTCACTTGGTATGAATGAAAACAGGAGCAGCCAGATGCTCTTCATTCGTAAGTTGCTGATTGACTTTGTTATCCTTCTCCGCACCAGTAGTAGAAGCCTGGGATTGCGCAGAGGTCAACATTGATGGATCTGGTATGTCATGCTTCAACAAGTCCACCTGTAAAGATATTCACAAATGTAAAAAGAAAAAGATTCATGTAAATTAAAAGACCACCCTAAACAAACATCAGTAACTATGCATGCTTCAAAAGGCCACCAGCATAGGACTTTCAGATGGATGTAAGACTTCCAAACGGGTGCAACATTTCTTATTCTGGTCATGTTTTCATCCTATTAATAACACATGCAAAGCAACAACGATGAATCATATACAAATAAAAAGGTAAGGCATACACTCATTGTCAAGATGAAACATGCTGTTACAAGCTACTGATAATTGTATACCAAAGTCAAATTATCTTTATTTAGCCATATTCAGCAATAATGGATAGATTTAGACCTATCAATCAATTGAGTTCCTAAATATTAAATGATCCTTAATACAATATACAAGTGTGACATTGGCATCTCTTTAAAGATCTGTTCATACAAGCATCTTAAGATCTCAAGACGTGAGTGTGTAGCATATGGATATCCAACTGTTTGGGCATGAAGCACATGCATGCATAGATAGATGGCATTGAAATTTAAGCAGAAAGATGTGACTGAAATATAAAGTTCAGGGGTTTTTTTGAGCTCTAGGGCGTACTGTCAGCATCAACTTCCACATGCTAAAATCATAAATTCCCTCTGATGCAACCAGCAGCACGTTGCAGACAGATAGTAGGAAAACACCAATCTACAATGGTTCCTTGCATTACAAGAAAAGAGAAATTTGCTCTGATCAGATATCATGAAGCCAAGAACCTTCTGTAACATAAGGTTGTAAAGAAACTCGCTTCTATTCAAATGATCACCTGAATTCCCAACAATTCATGAGCGAGATCTGCTGATAGGGACTCTCCATTTAGTACAGAAATTGTAGATAAACCATCAGGTCTCATCATATCAACTAAAACAGAAGGGCTGAACATAGGCTGTGCACACAATGATATTAGCTCTTACAACTAGAAGCAATTAAATACAAAACAATGCTATTACATTGATAAATTAGACAAAAAAGATAATGAAAAGTGTCTTCCGGACAGAAAAATGTTCTCAGTATATTGTAATGTCTGGTTATTACGAAAGAAGGAAAATGTGCACCACATAGGCTATAGTCTACAACATAGGCTGAGTTTTGAGCATATTCTATTCTCTAGACTTATCATGTCTGTGAATGATAAGGAGTTTCCACTTAAGAATGAAAAAAAACGATAAATCTCGCTCAGGACTAAGAACATGGCATAAGCATAAATTGCAGTAGAAGGTATCTATACCTATAATTAACCTTCAATATTTTACAAACCTTCTTCTTGCCTAAGTTTTTGAGACAATAGTTTACTTTACTACAATCACGATACTGGTGATCTGGCTACTTACTGAGAATTAACTCAAATTTTGTCAATCATTTACCAACAACTATGCAGCGAATTAGTATAGTTGGTAGATTAGAAGGACTGTCGTGCAAAGATTGGAGCACCCAATCAAAATATGTTTGTTGAAGATATTTGATGCTCGTTTATCTTATAGGTTTCCTGGAGAATCCTCCATATTAAGAAAATGCTCCAAGATAAAAATGCATAATAAATTCACTAGGAAAAGTAGATGACCACCTCATCACTAATAACAAATGCAAGAAATTAAAATTACATTAGCTGATCAATTATAGTATCGAGTTTCTACAATACAACAAAAACATAACAAGTGAGCAATTCTAGTACAAACCTGAGCATCAAGGAGGATTAGCCTTTCAGAAGAAACCCTCAGCTCAACCCCAGCAGTACAATGTTTTGCCATGGCTATGGTTTCTTCAGACTGTGTTGCAAAAGGCGGAAGCATTCCTAGGAGCAAACTAATTTTAGTCAGCTTCCTGATCAGAAACCTATGTTATGTAGGATACTTCCATGAGACAGACCAGATACAATACATGTGTCCACTCGTGTCTGAAATTTACAAAACGCTAAGCTATTATTTACCAATCATTCTAGTAAAGTAATTCTTTCTTTTAAGGACAATGACTAAACATGCATTACTTTATATGTCAAAGTAGAGTATGTTTTGAAAAATATGCACATGCAATTGTGTATTTACATGGCTTTTGGACAATTAACGTATTTGACTATGACGCAGTGCTTTCGTCTACAGTAGTTCTCTTGTCTATAAAGCACGTAAAGAAATGTTAGAACACTTATAAATCAAATGTCTCATGCTGACAAATTGAATGCACCAAATTAATATCCATATGAGTCAACATGAGCATAATTGTTTTAATATCCATATGAGTCAACATGAGCATAATTGTTTTATCATCTCATGGTATAAGAAGCTATTGCTTTAAGAAGCTACTGCTTTAAAGTACATATATATATAGTGCATATTCAATGTTCCTTAAACAAAATATTCTAGGTCAAAATCACCATGGTGGAATCTCAACTAGGCATCTAATTATCGGAGAAAATATAGCAAACTAATTTATTAAAAAAATCTTTTTAAAAATGAGCAAGTAATCAACACAAAAGTGAACTTTATGAAAAAAAAAAGAACGGATTTTGAAAATCAAATAGATCAATATACCAGGAGAGCTTCCATCAAATCCATAAAGCTCATTCAAAATAGTCGACTTGCCCACTCCAGTTGGCCCAATAATCCCAACAACATTGAAGTCAGTGTTGTCTGTCAAAAACTGCAACCAAAGAATCCAGATAAAATCATAAAACCCCCCAAATTTCCCCCTTTCAGTCAATTTCTAGGGTTTAAAAAGCCAATTTCTAGGTTTTAACAAGATAGAACAGCTCACCGGTAGGATTCTCTCAGTGTGGAACTCCCAAGTATCCGAGAAGAGATTGAGGGATCCTGGTTGAGGAGCGTTGCGAGAGGGCCGAAGTAAGACGCCGCCGGGGACGGAGGAGGGCGGAGGAGCTCCGGCGGAGGAAGAGTCCTGGGCGGCCGCGGGGCCCGGCGAGGGTTTTGCAAGGAGGATCTTCGGAGGCGGTGGAGGCGGGGGAAGACCTGAAGATGACGATGGGTTCGCCGACGAGGAAGAGGAGGAGGAGGAGGACGATGATGGCGGAGCTCCCGCCATTCCTCGTGGTAAATAAATAAATCATACTGGGCCAGTGGTGGACGAGTCTATACGGGCCCATTACCATGAGGCTTAAATAAATAAATCATACTAAATTGAGAAGTTATTTTTAAGTGTTTGAAATTGAGATGCCGTTGGATGCTGATATGGCGTTTCATGGACGTGGGTTTTGCGAAGAAATAATGCTAGGGGCACATCATGAACCACACTCTCAATCACACCCCAACACTCTTTATAGTGCAAGTGGGTCATGCATGATATTTTTTTAGAAATATCATGCATGGCCCACTTGCACTATAGAGAGTGTTGGGATGTGGTTGAAAGTGTGGTTCATGGTGTGTTCCTAATGGGACTCTTTGCGAAGTGCCCTCGCTCATCCTTGAATGTTTGGGTGTCTCCCAGTACGATTCTTTAGATAAAGAGTTATTTAGTGTATACTTCCCTTTTTCAAATTAAACTACACAGAATGAGAAGTGTTGCTTTGTGTGCAAGATAAGTGATCTAATTTTTACTTGGAACTCCCAGAGGTAAATGGAATTTTACCATTTGAGGCAATTTAAATTTTGTTACACAGTTTCTGAGTCTAGGCTGATGAGGGGTGGTGGGAGTGCTGATTTCTTTGCTGGTAAATACGCTGGTGATGTAGGCTACTGCCAGCGAAATGAGGCGGCCGCAGAAGTAACTTACGGTGCCAAACTTTCTCCTCTTTTTTTTTGTTGGGGTTTTTTTTTTTTTGGAGTTTGTTAGGGTTGTGAGGGTGAAGGGAAAGGAGGAGGGGAGCAGAGGAGAAAGGCGGGGCTGTGGTGACAACCGCAATGGCAAGGGATCACCAAGAAGTGCAGACCTGCAGTCTCAGAGTTGCGGTTGTGGAGAAGAAAATTAAAATATCAGCTGCAGGTTAGTCACAGATGATGATGATGATGATGATGATTTTGACAGCTGAAGCCAGCCAACTAAGGGAAAACAGGATTAAATCCCTGAAACTAGTTATAGACAGTACTCCAATATCTACACACTTGAACAGGCATCAGATGCCCAAAAATATCGCTGTAGTAATGAGTGTCCTCAAAGGAGTTCCTCCTCCTTCATCAACAACTATGTTTAAGTTCAACCAAATCATATCTACATATTGGCAGCGGTACAAATTCTTTCCTGTGGATGAATTGAAACAGTTTTGTCGGAGAAGACCTCAACATACTCTGAAGAAGCAATTGCATTGTTGAAGATAACTTGCTTCAACTTCCAAGGACTGTCTTCCACCTACAAAAAGATAAAAATAAAAATAAAAATAAAAATAAAAATCAAATCAAATAACATTAAAAAGTAAACGCCACAAACAGCAAATACCTTATAGCCACTTGACTTCGATTAACTTCTGACTTCCTAAAAAGAAAATGGACGGAAACATAGTGTAACCAGTTAGCAGGTAATAAGCAATTAATATTTGCAAGAGCAGTACTAATTGTTAAGTCCAAACTAAAGAACATGAAAGCAAGCTTATGAGATGTAGAGCAACATTTGGTATGAACAAAGGCGTAAAAGGATAATGCTGTAGTTTTTTCCCCCAGGGAACCAGTTATGCTGTATGATTAAAGAAGTGAACCGTTGCATGGGTTATTTAATCACAACCAAAAACTATAAGCAGCTTGCATGGGTACAATGATATTGTGTTCACTATAATTAAAATATACACATGAACATGATTAACAGAAAATCATAAATTTGGTGCAGATATATTTCTACATGTATTCAACTTACCTATATCTCAAGTACATCCCTGCGAAACAGAGAAACAGAGACATAGATGATCTGAATTATCACCCAACATCACAAAAGTTGTCAAATAAAAATCTCAAAATTGCATAAACAAAACCTTGCATTAAAGCATATCTATAAGGATTCAAAAAAAAAGCATATCTATAAATGCTATCTTATTGAGTGAACTATCTACCAAATACATGACAAAGTGCAAACATGACAATTCTGCAAGATCCTACGGTAGAAAGTATACGCAAACACGTTTAACAAAAATTTGAAATAAAAATTATTGGTACATATAATAATTTACAAAATATTACAAGAAGTATTCCTTTACGTATACCTCAGGAACAACCGTGCTACCATGAGAAAGGTGTCATATAGAAAGGTGTCATATAAAACCTTCGACAAAAATAAAATAAAGCATATCCACAAATGTTCTTCTTTAGTGAACTATCGTGATCTATTTAATATATGCCATAAACCCCCTTGAACATAACAACTCTGCAAAATCCTGCAGTTGACAGCATGCATACAAGTATTTCTTTCTGTATATTATTTAACTGCTGAATAAATAACAAAAGATGCCGAACATGACAATTCAGAAAATTTCTTAGTTTGGAAGCATGTATAAGATGTCCTAATGAACAAATAAACTCTCAGTTTTCCCAATGCAGGATTTTATAGACAAGTGGTAACTGCAATATGTAGAATGGAAGTAAAACAATTAATATATCAAAGATTATCTTCATGAAGGAAAACCCAATTGTCTCGTCGATGTATACTCTTTAAGAAACTCAAATTCATACAACTTCTGTGACTGCTCAAATGGACAAAGTGTGACGTCTAGCATACATTAAAAGTTCAGCATTTAGAAGTATCCAATATCATACGCGACATTTCTTTTCTGCAGATACCACATACATGTGCATCTATGTAAGTAAGGTAACTTCCCATAAATAGTTACATGAACAAGACACTTGATCTTGGTATTTATAAAGCAAAATACTTTTACTAAACACGTAAGACACTTGATCCTGGTATTTTAATCAAAACATAATACCAACCCAACAAGTCATTTGGTGTAGTGTTTTTAATTCAAGGAAACAAACATCAACATATATCACAAGTATATACCATTAGTTACCATTAATTCGATCCAATAACTTTGTTTCAAATGCAAACAGTTTAAACTGAGATAATCCAGGAAAAATAGTAAGATTGGATCCAATTTCTTATAAATATGATAGGTAGAGCTGCCCACTTAAAGTCATAGTTGATGAACAATAGATAAGCAATTAAATAAGAATGTCCAGCACGGATATGAGCGTGCCTAAGAATGTCCTTGAATATCTATCTATCTGTCTATCTATCCAATGTTAAATTTTCACGTTCATACAAGCTAGTAACTGCCATACTTAAAATTACTAAAGTAATTAACATATCATAGTTATATCAAGAATGCATTACTCGATATATACATGTAAATTATTGAGAAAACGTAGGCATTAAACTTTTGTAGGTGTCCAAATTAAGAAGTGTTGAAATTGATGAAAGTGTTGCACTAAGCACATAATTCCCATTTGGAAAGTAGTTCATGCATACTGAGGTTCACATTCTCGCGCTTGCAGGCACAAACATAATTGTGCATCCAAAAGGTACGTACTTTACTTAAATAAGTGAATAAAGCAATTATTAAACCACGCTTTTCTCAAATACGAATTATATGCATGAATGATATAACAAAGCAAGAACTACAATAATCTAAATTTGCATGTTTTCATGTCTCTGTATCAATGCTAAGAAGCACGTACCCTGGAAGAGCAACGAGTAAATTCCAAAGTAGTTCATGCAAAAGAGTAATGGTACAATAAGAATTATATGTTACGTGTAGCCAAAAACAAAATATACACAACCCAGATCCAATTGACGTGTCCATCACTGGTAGGATATGCACTTCACCATGTTATTCTAGTAAAATTTGCTTTTATTTGTTATGGAAAAAAACAAATTGAGACTTTTGGGCCTTTTTAATATCCATCCATTTTAACATCTGAAGAACCCGCGTTGAGCATAATACAACAAACTTGTAGGTTTATGCTTGAGTAGCTCAAGTAAAATTCTTTCCCCTTCCCTTCAAACTGGAATGCTCTAAGTGACTAATTCTTCATCAATTACTACACTCTATCGTACCAGGTTTGCAACAATTTGACAAATTACCTAGAATTTAAAATTTAAAGCTTCTATTTTTATTAGTCGGCTTCAGAAGATGGACACTTTTTTATTTAGAAGTTTATTAATAATTTCAAAATAACTTCAGCAAGAAATTTAATTTAAAACATGGGTGTAATAATTTCCGCATACACAAAAGGAACTTACTAATTTGTTGTATTAGCATTAAAACTTACCAACCTTGACCACCCTAGATCTCTTGAATTTATGGATGCAACTCCCATCTTATCAATTCATCAAATATCTACCAGACATTATTACATTTTTGTATGACCCATTGGAAACATCTAGAAAGTCAACTCCTTTTCATACCTCCTATGACGAAAAAACTCATCTCATATATCTACAAGTCAACTTCACATTCAACGAACCCATTTAAATATCAAAAAACTTATGTCATCTCTCTACATATCTATATCCTATCTCAACAAATCCATGTTGTACCTTAACCTTTACAGGTCCATATCTAAATGGGAGCAATTCATTGTCTATATATAAACTTGTTACATTTCTCCATTAATCCATCTTGTAATCCCAGCTTAAGCAGATTTAGGGCTTATTGTAAAATATGGATCCAAAATCCATCATGAACCACCATCTGTCCGTAGCAGAAAACACCTTCTTTTAAAGCAACTTCATAACATCTAAAGAAATTTCAAATTACCATTAGTATATTTTTTTAATAGCAGAAACCATCTTCTGTCCATGATGCCCTAAGTTGCTATGAGATTAATGGGCTAGCTATAGCATTTGATGAATGCAATATGAACATGAAATATTTTCCTATTTTGAGCTATAACTTTAAAAGAAATTCAACTTACCATTAGTATATTTTTCCAATATTTAATAACATTTGGTCCAAAGAGATCTAATTTTACTTAATGTCACGTGTCAACATTTCACAGAGGAAAAGATACTGTTATATTTCACATGATCAAATATGGCATATGAACATGCCGGACGATCTTAAACGTGTTTGCATATTTATTGCAGTCATCGCCATATAACACAT